GTGCTTGATCAGTCACAGCGGTGCAATTGGGAACAGTGCCATTCTAGAGCCCAGATGAGACAGGAAAGGCCATTTGCATTCCAAGTTTTGTTGCTGATCACCTTCAAATGGAATCACAATGGCCCAGGGAAGATAAGCCGAGAAAGTGGGGGCGAGAATCTGAAACTGACGTCGCATTTTGTGGCATTATTGAAGTTTCATGGTCCAGATTCTGAGCTGCCAATTATTATTATCATTACGATTTATTATTTGTATTGTGGTAGAACCTCAGAGCCCCAGTCACGGACCAATACCCCATTGTGCCAGGCAGTGTACAGAACAAACAGACAGTTCCTGCCCCAAAGAACTTACAACCTAAGTATAAGACAAGCAACAGGTGGAGACAGGCAGACAGACGGGGGAGTACAAGAAAACAATGAGACAGTATGATAAGCAGTAGTTTGAGCACATCAGCAGCCTAACCGCTGTCAAGTTTCTTGTAGGCATTGGCGTTATGGCAAAGGAGGGATTTGAAGGAAGACAATGAGAAGGTTATGGGGCTCTCCACCCATGAGTGAAGGGCAGCATGAGAGAAAGTGATAGAGAAAGAGGAGCTGGGGGAGGGATGCCAAGGGAGATGTGACATGATCAAAGTGGCGAGCTAGGGAAATGATCCTTGCAGCAGCATTCTGACTGCTTTTGTCAAGGCCAGAGAACAGGATGTTTCAGGAACTGAGACATGAGATGATAAGTGCATGGACAGGAGTTTTAGCTTTTCGGGTGGAAAGGCCACAAGGCCGTACCTTAGAGATGCTATGCAGAAGAAATCGACAAGATGCAGGCACCTCCTGGTTCTGAGGATCGAGAGAGAGGGCCGAGTCGAAGATGACACCCAGTTTATGGAGGTAAGTGGCAGGCAGGGTGGTGATGTTGTCTACATTAATGATCGAGAAAGGAGGGAGAGGGGAGAAGTTAGGAGGAAAGATTCGGAGCTCTGTTTTGGTTGTGTTTGAACTAAGCTAATGGCTCAACCTCCATGAGAAGTCAGAGAGACAGGCTGAGATTTTAGTTGGGACCGAAGGAGGCAGGTCTGGAGTAGAGAGGTAAATCTGGGAGTTGTCAGCATGGATATGATAGCTGAATGTGTGTTTGCAGATGAGATTACAAGGTGTCGAGGTGCCCAGTGGCTGCTCTAATTTACATTAACTTTGACTCACCCTTTATGGATTATTTCACTTGCCCAGGATAGCTGAAACTTTAAGCCCTGCATGCTCACACCCTGCCTGAGCAAGACCCACCCTCCTTCCTTCCCTTGGGCAGAACCTCATCATGCCCCTACACCGGAAAACAGCATAGAACCCTTAGATTGTCTGTATGCTGACTTGAGAAATCCCCTGCACTGGGGGGGGAATTCCCCAATGGCAGTTATAGGTTTAAAAAGAAGCAGGAATCCTGAAAAGGAACTGGCCAAGAACTATGCTGCAAACATGAATATTTTGCAGCTCATGAGGCCTAGAAACATTTTTTGCAGGCTCAGTAAAAATACTCGCAGGATGTCTGTTGTTCTGAGCACTGGGGGACCAGCAATCAGAAATCAAATCCTTTAAACTCCACCCCTGCATCCTACCCCATCTCTGCATTACTCAGCTCTGTCAACAATGTACAATGAAAAGAACCATCTGGATCATTTTAGGCTTAAGAACTCATTCACCCACATGCACCAGCCATCACCTGACCAGCTAAAGTCTGGGCTTTCCAGGGTGTCTCTGCAGCATCTCTAGCTGGTCATTACATGATTGATAAAGACCTCTGGATAGCCCAGGGGTGCTTAGAAATCAGCTCTTCCTCAGAAGGAAATGGGACAGCAGTGCCACCTGAAGTTAAGCTGAGAATTGCATCTCTGCTCTGGTATCCTGCCTCCAAGGCTGCACCACATTCCAGAAAGAGGGGACAGTGGCTGTGTGTAACAGCCAACCTGCTGTGCCAGGCCAGACTGATCGCTCTCCGGTAGGGAACACTCTCCAGAAAGCCATGGTTCGAGTGTGGGAGGGAAACATAAGCAGGAGAATTCTGCTGCAGTCTGCAGAGGTTTGAGCTAGGGAGTGGAACGCAGGGATCCCAGGAATTGGAGGGCAACTGTCCTCTCTCTTTCTTTTAGAACTGAGGTTGGTAAAATCAGAACCTCAAATTCCAGCCCCCTTCAGATTTCAGGGATGCAGGATTCAGATGCCAGGATCCAAATCTGTCCCTGCAATTTTGGTTCCAAATCCAGAAAGGCCCTATTTTCCCCGTGAAGACAGTGGGATTTTCAAAGGGGCTTAGCACTGGCCGAACTCTGCCAACTGTCTCTGGGGGTTTCACCATTGATTCAGCAGAAGCAGAGTTTGAGAAAACAGGGCCATTGATCTTCAGGAGAACCCAGCGGGAGGGCAGCGAGAGGCTCCCACCTACGCTTCTCCTGGCTTTGTGAAGCTGCTCTCCCAGTCCCTGCCCTGGTTTAAATTTCACATGCCTGTCTCAGAGCTGCCGAGACCCAGCCTTAGCCCACAGATATGGAGGGTTTTGATGGAGCTACTACACCAGTTTACTCCATCTGAGGATTTGGCCCCAGACAACTTTTGGCATTCCTGCCACCTCTGCTGCATCTAGTGCTGCAACTGAAAAAAAACCCACACAGCTCTGCCATCTGCTCCCCCACCCTCCTTCACGCCCCACATGCCCCTGTCTGACATATGAACCAGGCACAAGTTTTGAGGTTTGTTTTTTAAGACCTGCATTGACTCCAAGATTCCTGGGCACCCAATCCTGCTTTGACTGACAGCCATTGACTGCAGCTGGAGCAGGGTTTTGATTTCACAAACAGCACTTTCCCTCAGCATGGACACAAGGTCCCCAGACTCCTGGTTACCTGTCTTATCTATCTCAGTCTTGGGGGCTGCGACTGCATGGGGTCACAAAGACATATTGGGGGGCATGACTTCCTCCCGTTCTTTATGGCTGGATGGGATGGGATAAGGAATTTTATGGAAGGGAAGTCTTGTAACTCTTTTCTGATGTCACCTGAGTCCATGGTATAGAAACAGTTGAGAACCACTGATTCATAATCATCTCTTACTGGTATTTATCCCGTGTCCACATTTCTCTAATCTGGGACAGCGGGTGAGGCTCCTGGTTTAGATTTCTCACTCGTGACATGAGTTTCATTTGTCTCAGGCTACAGTATCCCCTGGCATTCCTTTGGTGGAGGGATATCAAAATCCTTGGGGATGAATGAACTTCCTTGTGACTAGGGAGCTCCTTTGGCCTAATTTCAAAACCAAGCAGATACTGTGGGCATGTAGGTTCGGTTTGATCACAAACTTTATCAGGCTCACATCCTACTTAAGCTAGACAATGAGAAAAGGAGAAGGGAGGAAAAAAACAGAGCAGAGAATGGGCAGAGTGAGAAGCAAATATGGGGAAGGCTGGGGCGGGGTGGGGGTGTGTGTGCAGAAAAGGGCAAGAGAAAAATACCAATGACTCAATCAGTGCAGCACCTCTGGGGCAGGCATCGCTCCTATGCATTGGGTGGCAGAATGTGTCCTGAATAGATAGCACAGGTTACTCCTTAGCTAGCAAAACAAGTTGGTTGGGTTTTTAAATTGAATCATGCTTTAAAGATCCCTGGGTTTAAATTACAGGAGAAGGGTTCATGAACTCAGCACAGCTATGCCAAAGCCAGCAGCACAGGTCAACAAGCACTGCCTCTGTTTGTAAAGTTTGGTTATGACCTTGAAATAGTTTCAGGTGTAAACTCCACATATATCACAATCAGCCTCTGGAAAGGGAGAGACTAGGGCCAGCTTCTGATATACTGATGTAACTGACATCAGAATCTGGCCCATAGAAGCTCAGGGGTCAGATCCTCAATTGGTGTAAATTGGCACCACACCATTGAAGTTTATGGAGCGAGGCTGAGTTGCACATGCTGTCAATCTGGCCCATGGACGGCAGGGAGATCAACTGAAGGACCTTCCAGCACTGTTCAATGTTTTGTTCAGACCTATTTTAAATTCCTCCAGAGAGGAAACTTTTCCCACTTCTCTTAGGAGACTGATGCTTAGAGGTGACAGTGAGCTGGCAGCTGGCAGGGCATTCTCCATGAGGCCCCCAGGGGCTCTGGAATTCCCTCCCATCCCTAGTCCAAAAGACTGGTCAGGGGCAGGGCCCATTTGATTCAGCTGGCCTTTGCAGAGAGGCAGGGGATCAAGGCTAGGCCATGGAGGTGTTGGTGTTTAATTGGATGCCCCTGGCTGGTGGAAGGAGTGAGCAGATGTTTGCCATCCTGGTCTCCTAGTTTCAAATGATCAGCAAGGTGCTCCGAGCTGAACTTGGGAGTTTTGTATTTGTCCTGACTGGAGACAAAATCAATCATTAGGACAATAATGCACCTCAGTTGCATGGGCCCTCCCCCCTGTGCCCAGACAGGGGTGAAATTCCACCAATTCCAGGGGAGTTTGGCCTGATTTACACCCGTGGGAAAGGAGAACCAGGCCCCTCATAGCCCATTCCTCTCCCTAGTGCCATGCCCAATGCCTGTGCTGGGTCTGACTCTCAGTTCCTCAAAGGTCCCTTTACACTGGTCTGGAAAGTGGCGCTAAAGGGGGTGAAAATGTGCCACCATTTCTCCCTCAGTGCTAGTCTCTACTCCCACTCTACATGGCTTTGGCGCCCATTTTAACTGTACATGCCCCGTTGGTAGGGTGACCAGAGGGCAAGTGTGAAAATCGGGACAGGGCTGGGGGGTAATAGGTGCCTATATAAGAAAAAAAAACCAAAATTAGGACTGTCCCTATAAAATGGGGACATCTGGTCACTCTACCCGTTGAGGCCCATAACCTCTGGGCAGTTCCCTGTTTGGCTGCAGGCTCATCACCGGTATCCCCGCACCGGGAAAGGATTAAGATGTAGCAAGATCCAGGCACGATTCCGGAGAGCTCCTGAAAATTAAACAAGATCCGGGCTAGGCTGGCAGAAGGATGCTCCAGGGAGAGCTGGCGGGCCTGGGAAAGAAGCTGCGGGCGCTGGGCAGGTCTTGGTGGAGAGGGACGCAGCCTTGGCACCAGGAGAGGGGGCTCTCGGCCAGGACACAAAAGGCGAGGGCGAAGCGGCGAGCGCAGGAGAAGGCAGGGATCCGAGGAGGGCTGAACTCTGTCTTCGGCCGAGGGAGCCAGGCTGCAGGGCGGTCGAGTCAGACGGGCAGATAGACGAGGAGAGAGCGGAGCTGTGACACCCTGCGCAGGGACTGGGAGCCGCGTCTGGGCGCCGGGCTGCCAGGCAGAGGTCCCCGGCCCGGGGGAGCAACGGGAGAAGCCGAGCTGTCCCAGAGCCGCCAGCCCCTTGCGGGGTCCCGCATGGCCCGGCTGTGAGGGGCTGCCCGGGGGAGGGAGTCCAGGGCGATGCTGCGCCTGCTGGAAGCCGAGCTGCTCTTCGCTTCCCTGCTCTCCGGCCCCTTCCCGCCGCTCTCCGGGGATCGGAAGAGGTGAGATGCGGGGCGCTTGGGGCTGCGGGGCGAGGGCCGGCGGGCCGGGCGCAGAGGCAAGCCCAGGGCCGCCGCTGGGGAGCAGACAGCCCCCTGGCTGGGGTGTGTGGAGCGGATCGGGGGCGCAGTGCGGGAACCGCACGCCCCAGCGCAACCGAGCCTGCTCCTTGCTCTGCCCTGCGAACACCCCCGCAGTTCTGCGCTCCGGCCCGCCTGGGAAGCTCGAACGGCTCCTTCCCGTAAGGAGCGTGACGGGCCGGGCGCAGCTTCTAGGCCACTAGCCGGCACCTCCCGCCTTGCCCCCGCGCCAGCTCCCGGCACCCCAGCGCGCCCCAGCGCCAGGAGCAGGTCACTGGCGATCCCGACGGGACTCTGCTTACACAGGTCTCTGGTGACTGGCACCTGCCACTTGTCCTCAGAGCCACTGAGCTCCTGGGGCTGAGCCAACACCTGCTATTCCAGTCCTGGGCTCCCCCCAGCTCCGCCAGTGCCCCCCCAGTCTTCACCTGCAGCCCCCTGCTATTCCAGTCCTGGGCCCCCTCCCCCCAGCTCCGCCAGTGCCCCCCAGTCCTCACCTGCAGCCCCCTGCTATTCCAGTCCTGGGTCCTATTGCAGCTCTTTCACTGTAGGTCAATCCTTTGTGTGGTTTTGTTTAAAGGTGCATTTAGTGCTGGGCTGACAATAGCCCTGTAGATGACAGTCCTCTGTGGATTTGTCTATAGGGCAGGCACAGCATGGGCCCTGGCAGCAAGAGCTTCCCTACCTCTTGAGTGAGGAGAGAAGAAAGAGTTCAGTCTCCATTGTGCATTCAGTCCCTAGCCTCTCTTCTGGGAGGGCCACCAAGGGGTTGCCAATTAGCGTTAATTGCATTTGGCAGTTGTGCCCTAGGAACTGGACCCATTTTGCATAAGCCACTGAGCAGCCCTCAGCTGGTAAATGACTTTCAGCGCTTGCAACCTGGGCCAGCGCTGAACTAATGATCTGGCAGCGAAGGGATCCAGTCCCTGTTACTAATCCCCAGAGCCCCTCTGCAGCTCAGAGCTCCCGAGCCCTTATGCAGCTCAGCCTGGCCCTACAGCATCAGAGTGCAGCACGGACTGACAATTGTGCCAAGGATGAGGTGTGTGGTTGCTTTGTAATGTGGACAAATGGGGGACTGGAATAAACTGAGCTCAGCGGGGCCCCATTGCGCTAAGGGCTGTACAGAGGTGTCTGAAGACAGCCCTTACCCCAAAGAGTTTATCATCAAAAGCTACTGCAGCCTCCAGTGTCTGGATTACCACATGCCTTTGCCCATCCCGTGGAGGAAGAACCCCGGGGCCATGTGGTTCTTGTCCCGCTGAAGGCGTGCTTGGAACAGGCTTTGCACACAAACACCTTTACTTACCTCTTCAGCATTTGTAACTGAGGTCAGGGAGCTGAGTTCCAGCCTGGTTTAAGAGGGACTAACTCTAGTGACCCCACTGACACTGCATCTGCTTCCATCAGGTCTGGATCTGACCCCGTGGGAATTCTGAGGGAGGAAGGACTTCAGGTTTGGGCTCTGATTCTCTTCTCACTTACAGGAGGGTAAATCAGGCATAACTCCCTTACAGTCAGTGGGGTTACATCAGTGTCAACCTGGGGATAAGAGCGAGGCCCCAAATCAGGCCCATCTGTTTTGTTAACATGTTCGGTGCTGCAGAACGAGAGAGAGAGAGAGAGAGATCCCACTCATCTGCAAGACACACAGACAGCCTGTCTGAGCAGAATGATTTATAGCTAAGGACATAAACACCAAAGTATTTGCTAAGGGCCAGATCCTCCCTTGGCGTAAACAGACACGCTCACTCTGTCGACTTCTGTGGATCTATGCCAACATACAGCAGCTGAGGCGCCGACCCTCCATCCCTTGCGGCACGTTTTGTGGAGCCTCCAAGTAAATTGTTTTTCCTGGTGTTGCACAATGGACTAACTGGAAGCAATGACACATCTCCTTATGCCTGTCAAAAAAATATCTGCAAAAGATGTTTCAGACACGCCAGTTGTGTTGATGGGGCCAGTGCTGCCAAACCTCCTACCCGCAGCAGCACAACAACTTCCTCTCCTCCCCATGACACATGAACACTCCGCCTTACCCAGCTCCCAAACCACCGCATGGCGTGAGTTGGTGTGGTTTTCCGGGCCACTCTTAGACCCCCCTCAGGGTTGTTACTGCTGCAGCTGGCTCAGATGTTACCAAGGAGTCCAGCCAGAGGGTTTAACAGTTGCCTGGAGGGGGAACTTAGTGACTTTCATAATGGCAGGACAAAATGGGTTGGATGGAGTTTAGAGAGCGTTTCAAGGAGGTTCCTGTGAGTTGCGGAGGAAGCATCACAGCAATGGAGTGATGCCAGGATGACTTTGACCCAGTGCAGCATTGCCAACTCTCGCAATATTGGAGGTTTTGTTTAAAGCCCTAGTTCCGATGAAAATCTCAGCTTTTGTTTTTAAAAAAGTAAGATTGTAGCCCAGGAAAGTTTGAAAATGTGACTTGAGGGCACCCCCCGCCCCAGGCTGATAAACCAGAAGGCAGATAGAAAGAACCCCATATTTATTACTTTAAAAAAACTCTTATGATATTTAAGCCTCTCATGAATTTTGGGGGATGGACTCCTGCTTGTTTAACATTTGGGGCTGGCAACACCACCAGTGCATCTCTCTCTCTCTCTCACACACACACACACACACACACACACACACACACCCCTTTGAAACTCATGAGTACTCTTACTCAAAGACAAGTTACCTTTCCCGCCCTGCTCCTAGACACAATCCATATACTGGGGAATCAAAACTCCCCCCTACCCTGGGAGTTAGGTTTTATTAACCAAAAAACTAACAAGATACCATAAAGAACAGCTACCACCTTCTCCCCAGGCTTGGCAGTTCTAATAATAGCAATAATTCACTTTGATTGTTCACTAGCCAGTGTAGCAACATCTTCATGGGCTGGTGATCACTAGCTATAACCAGCATGACATTAGCTAGAGCTCACTCACTATCAAAGGCAGGCATGTGACTAGATCACCAGACAAAGCAGGTACGATACCACCTAGGGCTAGAAGATCACTAAGCACTGAAGGGATGCCGTTAGCTAGGGCTAGAAGACTCTAGCTAGAGCGCTAGAATGTAGCTTCCCAGTCCGAGCAGCATGTTGCTAGCAGATCATGTCAGGTCACTATGGGTAAGGGTAAGATTATGTCACAAAGGTCACAGATTGTGTCTTTCAGAGACCTCGGTGACATTTTCCACCAGCCCTGGGGTGGAGGGCCAGAGCTGTCAGCCAGCAGGGACCCTAGAGTTCTGAGCTGCCGTGGGTGGCGGTGGCACCCTGGAGCTCCCAGCCCCGCCAGGCACCGCAGCCCCCACAGCGCTGAACTGCCATGGGCTGTGGGGGGCCTCAGCAACTCCCAGCTGCCCAGGTGGCAGGTGCTGGACCACCCCCACCCTTCTGCAGTGGAGCTTGGGCTCTCATTCCCCCTGCTCCTCCACTCAGGCTTCAGTCCTCCCCCTGTCAGCTCCATTTGTCACAGTTATTTTTAGTAAAAGTCAGGGACAGGTCACAGGCTTCCATTAATTTTTGTTTATTGCTCATGACCTGTCCCTGACTTTTACTAAAAATAACCTTGACAAAACCTTAACCTTAACTATGAGCTAATAGCAAGGTAAAGGCAGGCATGCCACTGGCTAGGAGCCCTTGCCAAGAGCAGCGTATTGTTATGAACTGGGTGAAACCTTATCATGCGTTGGGTTAAAAACTCATTGAGGTTGGTAGGTGTGAACTCATCCTTCTGTTAGCATAACTGTAAACATAAATGCCACCTAAGACAAAGGTGTGTGTGAACCCGCCCAGGCACTTCTGGGCTGAGTATTGCTTGGGGTAGGTTTGTATGGGTGTGCGAGAGATCACACTGATATTGAGGACACACCCAAGAACAGAGAGGAAAAAAACAAGAAAGCCTAGGTCTGGTCTGCACTACAGAGTTAAGTTGATGTAAGCTGCCCTATGATGACCTAACTCTAAGTGTCTACACTACAACGTTGCTCCCGCTGATGTAAGTCGCCCACTACACCCACCTAGTCACTCCACCTCCGCAAGAGGCATAGTGCTTAGGTCGATGCAGTTAGGGCACAAAAATTTGACTAGCCTCTCAGGTCTAGGGTTACCATTCGTCCGGATTCCCCCGGACATGTCTGGCTTTTTGAGCTAAAAATAGCATCCGGGGGGGAATTTGTAAATGTCCGGACTTCCCCCCCCATGCAGAGCACGCGCGGCTAATAGTGCAGCTGGCCGGATGGTGCCACTTACATGGGGCTCCGACAGCCAGAGAGAGCTCCTCCTCCTCCCCCCTGCAGCAGAAATCACTCCCTCCCTCCCTCCCTGCATTCGCAGATCGGCTCCGGCAGTCTGGAGCTCCTCCCCCACTGCTGCCCAGCGTGCCGGGACGAGCGGCTCAGGCAGTTCCTGAGCAAGTTCACCGAGACATTAGGCGAAGAAAGGCCAACAACAAGGGGGCCAGGGGATC